AAACGGAGGAAAAAAAAAAACGGTAACCTGGTTGCCGAGTTCACGAAGTGAATTGGCTTGTTTTACAACGTCTTTGCCAAGCGACGAAAACCCAACCCCGATAGCAAACACCGGGGGGGGCGGAGGGCGGAGAAGGGGAAGGTAAACAATACGGAGGGGAGGGGGAAGCAACTCGAAGCCTCAAAAAGGGAATCGTCTGGAAGCCTCAAAATCGACAAGCAGAAACACTCCAGCACGTTTCACGTATGGATGCATCAGCGGAAGCGCGAGGCACTAGGAGCGCCATGCAAAGTGAGGTGCGCCTGTGGGTTCAACATGATCTGGAGCCCTGGTGGATAAAACCATAAATGACAACAGCAGCAACAACAGCGACAGCAGGAAACGCGGACGTTTGAAGACCAACCATTGAACACCAAAAGCACACCCCCACCAAAGCAATAAAAAACTTCTTCCCGCTTCCTTTCGGCGGGTATTTAGTCATATGGGAGGAAGCCCTATCGCCGCGTTAGGTAGCGGTACGTAAACATCCATTGAGTCCCGACTTACCGAATCGCATCTGTCTTCAAGGTGAGTGCTTGGTGTTCCTTCTTGCGATCCCCGAAGTCGGGCTCGTTGACGCCGTGGGTGGCGAACACCTCGTCGTCTTTCTTCCTCTGTTCCAGGAGAAGACGCGTCTTCTGAAGCTTCTCCTGCAGCAGGGCTCGCATCCCGAGCACCTGTTGTTGTTGTTGTTTATGAGGTCGTTGTCGTTGCTGTTCGTGCTCTCGTTGCTGCTACGTGTGCTGCTGCTTCTCATCCCATGTGACGACCAAACCAATAGCCCGTGATCACAAGCCAGGGACACGGAAGCAATTATTGAGACTTGAGACGTAGTTGGCATGTGCGAGGGGTGTACTGCATGTTCCGGGGGGTGCCCTTTAATGCGAACGATGCGTGTGCGCGTACGCAGGGTGCAAGACAACAATTCCCGTACGTAGTGCAAGCTTGCGGTCGAGCAAGCAGCGGAGAGTCGTCCTGTTGAAAACGTGTTCCCGCTCTCTTTGGATTGTTTTCGTTGATGCTAAAGTCGGAACCGTCCTTGTAGCACCAGGCGAACCCAACGTTTTGTTCAATTTTGCATTTCTTCTTCCGCAACACGGTACATCAACTACCTGTTAAGTCTCCGTGTGACCCAGACTCTGACCGACTGGGGGAAGGACATGCAGGAAATTGGGCGCAGGGAATACACCGGGAGGGATTTGCAAACAGAACTAGTCGCACCGCAAACAGAAGCGGCGTTTTTTCAGCAGAATGAACGTCCGTCACCGTCATTGTCTGTGAGAGACGGGACAAAGTGTTGATGCTCTTTTGAACGCCCCGAGCGCTATTACTGATTAGAAGAATGCAACTGTCGCTTCCCAACATACGGGTTTAGACTATGCTCGAAAAAATGAAAAACACGAAGACATGGACCCCTGTTTGTGTGGCAATCAACCCTACAAAATCTGAAGCGAGGTCGGTACGTGCTACCACTGCGTAGCTACTCCAACACCCACCGTTGGGTCGTCCTGCATGCTCTCGTGGGTGATTGCCTTCATCTCATCGGCTAGCGCCTGCGTCGTCTGAGCCGACTCGGCTTGCTCCGCTTGCACGGTAGTCTGCAAAAAAAAAAAAAGTCCGCAACAAAAACGAACGGCCGAACACAGCAACAGCAACAGCATCAAAACACTCCTTCGCGGTTGTACGTATTTTCTTCGCAAAAACAAGAGCACACGTCAACGAAAATCAAGAGTACCCATGACGGCAACAACCACAACATCAACAAGACGTAATGCGTACCAGGCGCGTGTCTTCAATCGCAAGCTGAGCCAGCCTGGCTTCCTCCGCGTGTATGTCGGAGTTAAGGGACTTCTGCTGATTACCGTCGACCACCGCAAGTTCTGAACAGCGAGGACGGGGAGGTGGGGGGAGGGACGATTCAAGACACAAGGACCTCACGCTCTGGAAGGCAAATTGCTTGTTCCAACTGAAGTTCACGATCCTTGTCTACCACTGCGACTTCTGCAATTACTCGCGGACTCTGGCCGGCTCTTTTCTCAATGTAAGCCCCCTCCATGCATCACATCGAGTTTGAAGAATGCGACAAGTTGGAAGCAAGGACTTGGGAGACTGGCTGCCCGTCGGTATCCTTTATAAACCACGTCCCCGCTCACGCTTGGATCATCAAACCCTTGGGCGAAGCCATATCGAACATACTCAAGAGGGAGGGTGGAAAACGACAGCAAATTGTTGTCGGCATGATTGGCTAATAGTGGACCAAACGCAACATCTACCATGTTGGCCAGCCTGCCGAGCTGCTTCGACTCGGCCTGAACCTCCGTCGGATGGCGTATTCTGCTCTCGCACCTCTAACCTCTTAACTCTCCAATGAAACACCACCATCAATAAAAAACATATTCTATCGTGGGCAATAACGTGGGGGGGGGGCGTGATGCAAAGCTGCGTCACGATCGAGGACGCGGTACTAGTCACAACAAGTGCTCGCCGTCGTCAGCCCTCACGGCTTCTTCGACCTCCGCTCTGGCTTCCTTAATCTCAAGAACGTTTTGCTCGTGATTTTGGTGGGACGTCTCTATCTGGTCTAGGACTTCCTGCTTCACGCGTCCAAGATCCTGAATGAACTGTCGTGTGGTATAGTGTGTGTCCGCAGATGATGACACACCGAGGCATTTCGTGAGCGAGAACCGCATGTCCACAGGAACGGGGACAAGAGAGAGAGAGAGAGAGAGAGAGAGAAGCAGGCAGGAAGACAGAAAGGCAGACGAAGAACCGAGGCGGGAGGACGGTACGATCGGCAATTTTCGCTTTTTTCTTGAGTAGAAGGCCTTACTAATGAACAGTCGACGCGGTCTTGACGGATAGTACTTGGAGGCAATCGTTCACGGCTGTTAGCAAGGAAGAGTCGTCCACAGCGAGTGTTTTTGGGTCGTTGTGATCGTGTTGTTGGAGTTCGTTCGCGGTGTCTCGAGGCTTTGTCGGAAGCACAAAACCACCACAATACTCCCTGTGACACTCCCGAAGAGACTGAAGAGTGCTTGACCCATAACCTTGCTTGTTCTCCTTCGCATCTAACAACCCAAGGGCATCATTAACTAGCTGGGAACAGACACCTACCCTCCAGCATCTGAACAACGCATTCTCAAAAACCACCGCTAGGTTCTTGGGCGGAGATCGCTGCGCAAATATGAAAGTTGAACACGATGCGTCATCACCACTGGGGTAGGGTCATCACCATTGGGGTAGGGGTGCGGGAAATGCGGCCCCGCGGGGCGGTAGTGAAAGTCAAAGGGGACCCGCTCACTGTAGTGGAAGAGGTGCATGCCGTCTCAGCGGTGGCTTGTTCCTCCCGCTGCACCCTGATCTCCACGTCTAGCTCCTCGGATCTACGGGTCAGCTCTGCCGCTTCGTTTTCCTTTGCCAGGTTCGTTGCGGGGAGGTTCGTCGTCTGCTCTTCTCGCTGCCGGGACCGACAACAACAAGTTGGCAGAAAACACACACGCACACCACAAATAAGGTTACCGTGGGATCAGCCACCACATACCGCAGTCACGCGATGCGTGAACGAAGTAAAGCATACGCTTCCAAAAGCTCGAACCTACTCGAACGGTCACTTTAATTAACGCATAGCTTTCCTCGTACACCTGCTCGCGTCATTAGCCCGTGCAATGGTTGATTGTGGGCGCGTAAGAGAAGCTAAGAGGTCTGTTCGACCAGCATGTGATCGTTAGATGACCACGGCCGCTTCCGGGTTCAACTCGGAAGCGAACAATAACAACAACAACGTGGCAGGATCATTTCGACTGACTATTTTACAATGCGGTGGGGGGAATACAGCGGAGCGTCGCGAAGGGGAACAGTTCGATTTTCGAGTGTTTGTGATTAAGTCCCTGCAGCGAAAGGTTTTGAACCTTTGAGACGCGACTGTCAGGTGGGGAAACAAACAACGAGACAGTGTGCTACCCCTCCGGGATGGCACGCATATAGTTAGTAAGACAATGCGTGTTGGTCGATTGCGAGGACGGGAATGGAATCGGCGATTGACTCTAACCTGTATAAGTAGCACAACAGCACCCAAGTCAGGCGAATACCCCATAGAACTCCGCCAAACGGACCGGCTGTACCCCGCAGAGTACCCGCACGAGCACACGGGATAAAGTGCTACCCTTGTGAAATTTATGACTATGTTCGAAAATTCTCAAGCAAAATAAAAGAAGTTGCCAACCATCAAACAATTTTTGCCGATGATTTCATAACCAAGGGTGCAGAGACAGATGCCAAAGTCAGCTGCCATGGTCTCCTGTCGACAACCGCAACGACGAGTGTTGGCGTGCCTTTTTCGTTTCGATTTCCTTCGTGACGGAGCTCTCCAGCCGCTCCAGCTCTACCCGGAGCTCTTGGGGCACTTCTGTAGCTCTTCCTTCTTGGTGCTGTTGTACGCCTTTGAGCGGGAGGGGGGGGTGGGGTGTCACCGCAAATTAATGTGATGAATCGATAAGGTTCTATCATTCTGTTCCTGGTTGACTGGTGCTGGGACACGGTGGTGATACAAATTTGCACGCTAGAATCACTGCTCACGCGTCGCATGCCAGTTTTTTAGCGTCGTCTACTTTCTACGGTGTTCACATCATTAATACCTTGCGGGGGAGGAGCGAACATGTTACTCTCGGCGTGACGAAGAGGGCCAGCTGAGGCATGCAACATTGAGTTTAGCCGCAGGCTTTGGACTTTAGATCTTGCTACTCCTACCAAACCGGGATGCAAAATACTGCTAGGCAGACGGCCATGAAGCGCGATTCAACGTGACTCGGCAAGCGGGTTGCACGAAGGTTGTCAAAGCGCGAGACGCAGAACCGTATTTTGAAAGTGGGCCCTTCGACTTCATCAGAGTAGAGGGTGTCCATGAAGGGCCACTTCTCATGGCAACCAGAAAGCATATTTGTTTGAACCTGCAGCCGCTCGTTTCATGCGCTGCTGGTGGACCTCGTTGTGTTGTTTGGCAATGTGGTCCACTTTCAGGCGCAGGTCGAAAAGCTGTCGATCGCAAGAAGGACACGATTTCGGGCAGGTGAGGGGGCAGGGGGGGACAATCTCAAGCATAGGACCGTCAACGGCGACTGAAGGCAGGCGAGGGGACAAGTGGACTTCATTCTTCCAACAACAACATCACGAGCGACGACAACGAGGACACGAGCGCCAGTGGCAGGTGAGGGGACAAGTGGGCCGCATTCTTGCATCCCGACACGGCCAGCCGTTACAAATAAGTCTCTCGGCGAAACACATCAAGGCGCACAAAAAAAACAACCGCGCACGATAGAATGACGAAAAATGAACGACCAACAGTAAAAATGATTTCCGCGTACGGTTCGTCTCACCCTCTGCATCCTTTTCTCCACAGCGGCCGTGGCCGCCGCCTTCCCGGAGCGGTGCCGGTTGGTCGCGGACACCTGGCTCTCAAGGCGTTTCTCCTGGAGACCAATCATCACCCTGATATCGCTGATCTCCTGCCGCGTCCGGTCGTTGTTCTCCTTGCACGAAGAGAGCTCCGCGTTCATCTCACACAGCTGCGAGACTTCGGACGACCCCATGGTGTCTTGCGGTGTTTGTGTTGTGAAAGTGTCGTTTGGCTTCTCCTAGTCACTCAGTCAGATGAAACAGCTGCCTGGGGCAATCGATGGTCGTGTTGCGCCGTCGTTGTGTGCCACCGAAGAAATCCGTAACGTATATTCTTGGCTGATCCCTGCGAGTGAAAAATCAGGCGCCGCTAGGGAACGTACACGCGACGCGAGTGAACTGAGTGGGGCGAAATGTGATGTATCACCAACGGCCACGGCTTCGTGCTGTAAGCCTTGTCTTCTTACGGTGACTAGGCGTACATTAAAAAGCACGGGCAATTATCCGCAGCCAGGGGCTGCGGCGTGTACAGGTAACAATCACCCCCCAAAGAGAGTGAACGGCTACTACGCGTTACGGCCAACTTGCTGGGAAGAGCTGAGGTCGTGCACTGTAGTACTCAGAGCGGGTGGGACGAGGCAAAAGGTAGAAGGTACAACAGTCCTTCAGCGAGGAAGTAAATAGCAATGTTGTTGCCATGGTGACTTCGAGTTCTTCGGAACAACAAGACGAACACTCAGGGAACGTTTCGATCCAAACAAAATGAATACCTTCAACAACGCTTCTCCCCGCTGCCTTGTTCGCCACCCGTGAACATCAATGTTCCTATGCAGTATCTCAGGGAAGCAATATAGCAGTAGGAGAGATGTCTGGAGCAGATCCTTGAATGATTTCGCTTTGATATGGGTTGTTAAGGGTGCGGTGGGGACCGCAGTTTTCATCTTCAAAAATACAGGAAACGCCTGCATATCACAGTTTTCTAGAGTCTAACTTCAGTACGAAACTTCAATCGCAAATAAACCGTCCGCTGACCCCCTTTCGTGTATCTGAGATTGTAACCCTTGCGATGCACTACTGACTAGCGATCCGGGTTTTTCCAAACGATCCTTCTATCATCGAGATCTATCTGTGACCTACAAGCAGGATTTTTGCAGCTGCTGTGCGGTCCGATTTTGAAACGCTTCAAGCAAACAGCAACGGCGGATCAGCACCTGTGTGAGCCTGTGGGGCTGCGAACTTCAGCGCAGCTCTTCCCTCACATGTGTTCTTCTCGTCGCCACAGCCGGTTTGCATGCCTGCGGTGATGTATATGTAGGTCTAGCTAGAAGCAAAGGTGCTTGAAGCGTCCCGAAATCGGACCGCACAACAGCTACAACAATCCAGCGTGTAGCTCACCGATCTCGATGATAGAAGGATCGTATGGAAAATCGCGAACCGCTAGTCTGCTGTGATCGCAAGGGCTCCAGTCTCAGATACTATTATTTCACATTGTACACGAGAGGGAGTCAGCGGACGGTTAGTTTGCGATTGAAGTTTCGCACTGGAGTTAGAACTTGGAAAACTGAGATATGCAGGCGTTTCCTGGATTTTTGAAGCGGAATGAGTACGTCATGTTCGCGAGCATCCAAGTCACTGTGCCTGGTCTGTAGTGCTGATGAAAAACGGCCTAGCAATTAGACCCCCCCGGAATCCCCCCCCCCCGCCCCCCCCTCCCCCACGGACCCCGATTTTCGATTGGTGGGCCTACAGATGGCGCCCGCACTTAACAACCTCGAGTTTGGGCCGTGGCTCGGGTTCATATTTTGCTGATCATCCTCTTGTGGGCTACAAATGACCGCTATATAGGTTTTAGAGTAGGGTTCTTAAACCGAGCTCACAAATGGTGCTCAAGTTCTTAGCTTCTGATTTTTTGCGAATCTCGATTTCTTAACTGCTAAGTTCTTAAGTGCGGGCGCTATCTTTATGTGTCTCGATATTGTTTTCACTTTGACCATTTCTTCAGGTCGCAAGCAAGTTTGCAACGCGAACGGGTGACGCGGTGGGATACACTCACTAAATACAATGCTGTAGTCTAGAATATATGAGCGAACGAGCGCAGATGTCAAAGGCTACGCTCAATACCAATAGAGAGACGGGCGTGCTGGGCTGTGCCTTGCTTCGCGTACTCAGGAAACTGTCAACTGCTGTGCCTTCTCTCCGTCAGTGCCGCCCGCGCGAGTGTGAATGAAACACGAAACGGCAGGAGAACCAATTGTGTACCTTTTCCCGTCCCAAAGGTCGTCAGAGGTTGTAATGGCTGACTGTCTCTCTTGGTGAACAAAGAAGCGAGAGAAGAGTGACACCCTCACACTAGTTTAGAGATCCACCTCCTAGCTCTTGCACTAGAGGTGTGGTGAACAGCAAGGGTCGGTCCACACACACGTGCACTTCATTTGAAAAGGGCTACGAGTATGCCTCTACGTATCTCCGAAAGCGGCAACAGCAAGTACAACTAACTAAGGAGCGGTAGGAGGTATAGTGCCTGGACAATCTTGACAACCGCCAAGCAGCCGCTGTCTGTCTTTCGCACCCGCACCCACCCGTCAAGAATGCGACTTATGTGGAGAGGTACCGCTTTCATGCCGCTTACCTGTTGTTCCTGTTCCTTGTGTTGCTCAAGAGTCACAGCAGTGAGATGGGTGCCCGAGAGAGGAGCCTAGAAAAAAAACGAAAAAAACGCATGGTGGCGTCTGCACCGCAGCGAAAAATGAACCGACACGAGACGGTTCGCTTCAGACTATAGCAGTATATTGGAGCGTTTTGCAAAAGGAGGACGCGCAGATGCATTGTCCATAGTTGATTGTAGGCGGAGTGGGATCAGGATGGGTGGTGCCACCACTTCTTATTGGTATCATGTTCTAGACTCTATCGCTTCTGGCAGGCTACCTGGAGTGAATCCCTCCACCTTTTCCTTTTCGATCTCTTCATTGACCAGCACTGGAGTGAATGCAATCTGTTACGCAGCCTAAATGAGTATTGGATCTCCTTGCCTGCCGAGTAGTCTAGGCACTTATCCTGTTCGCAGTTCTGTTGTGTGAAGGTCAGTCGTGAGAAGTGCCACACCACACGTCTCCTTCAGAGAGCCTCATTATTATAGAGGTACATTATTATCACGATGAGGAGACTGCCACCTTTTTGCACCAGTGACTCACTCTGCAAGAGAAGGCTGAGTCTCACCTGTAAGCTATATATAACAATCGGTCACTCCCGGGCATGAAGCCCGACTTGTTATTCCTCAGAGGGTACGGGCCGGGTTTTGTCGTGCAACGTTCCATTGAAATCGTTAAAAATGTGCCAGTCATTGCTGGGGGCTTGCAGCCACGGGCACGCAACAAGGTGGGCTCACGTGCGGGGCATCCACGGCACGATGCAAAGAAGGCGGATGGGGGGCTCATCAAGGACGGTGGAGATATCAATGCGGTCATGGATGATGTGAGAAACGGAGCACACAGCTGCTGTATGCATATCAACTGCTGTTCGGTTGGCTGCTCAGCAGTTTCGTGGGCGCCGAGCTTGGAACGGGGAACAGGTAGGCTATCATCAAAGATGCGCAAAAAAAACGACAAGTCGGCCGTGGGGCGAAACCCCTTCTTTGCTCTGCTTGCTGCCCTTTCTACCATCACGACAGACTATTATTACGGAGATCCCTATTTTGTGCTGGCGGATGGGGCACGGGGCAAGAACGGGGCTCTATCGCTTTTGCTATTGCTGAGAGAAAGTCACAGCAAAAAACGCGTACTGCTTTAACTGAACCCGGTCACTCGCCTGTGTGTGAAAGTCGTTAACTTGCTTAGAACACGATCAAGTATCAACTCCGACGTATCGTGCACAAACAAGCGTCATTAGACATCCTTTTGTGGTTCTCCCATAGTCGCATCAGAAACTGAAACCTTCAGAATTGCTCCAAAATCGTCGAGCGCAGGTTCAGCGCCACGGCAGGGTTGAAAAAAACAAGGAAAAAAGCCTGTGGTGCGCGTGCGAGGCGAACCTTATCACGAAAATCAGATTGATGACTTGCCCGAATCCTGTGATCTTGTTCATGCACCCTGCTCGGTTCCGAGTGCGATTCATTCACCTTGATGCCTACAGATGGACCAAAGAGGCGAACTGGTTTGTTTGGGCATGGCATCCCCCCGGGCCTTTTCTACAAGAGCGAGAAAGCAGTGATCCGCGAAAGACCTGACTGCTGACACTACCGAAATAACATGAGCGGGGGCCCACGGCTAATGAGTTGAACTCAGATTGTCCAGATTCCAACCCCATCGGACCAAACACAAGCAGACGCTTGTTGGCGAATAACCATGAGCCGCGCTCCACGCGCAAGCAATGATTACCAACTTGCAGATACCACATGCTGCCGGTCTTTCCCGCAACATACCCCCGCCTCAAGCAGCCTTTTCCCTATCGTCCCAAAGCTCTTCATCTCGCCTGTCTAAACCATAGCAACCCGACCGAGAGCTCGAACGGGGATAATTAGAACGGGAAACTTGAATGAGAATACTGCTGGTAAATGACGAGATTGAGGGCTGTCTCACTCAAAATCGACAACAAACGCAAGAAGTAGTTCGCTCCTGCCGCAGCGGAACGCGGCAAAGTAGAACCTTGGTGCACTTGGCACTGAAAACACTTCGAAACGAATCCTCCCATGAAGGTATGCATACGTAACTCCGAAAATAACCGGTCGACAATTCCAACCATGCTCGCACGACCTTCGACCCTTCTTATCATAATATCAACCAATCCCCTGGCTTGCCAGATTGAAAAACGGTCGGGTGCCTACTCTCGAGCCTCCTCCTTTGCTGCCCCGTGTTGTTCTTCCCACAGCGTTGACACTCCCAACATCTCCCCTCCGAAACCAACTCGCTTACATGTAGCGATGGAAGCGTTCACAAATAATCGCTCCGCGAAAGCTCATGTGTCTCTAGTCATGCTCCGGGTGGTTGAGCTTCAATGCTCCACCCAAGCAGAGGGTTCACCACTTGCTTCCACTCCCTGCCGATGCAAGTTCTAATCAGAAAAGCCGTTACGCATAAGCGTCTCGTGCGACAAGTAGTCGGGTCACTCAAACAGGGCCATCCCCTTCCAGCGGCATTTACCGCACACCAGCTAGAGCCTACCGAACATGTCGAACGCACTCTGTCGAAAGAACGGCAGTGTTGAGATCGACGCCTGTGGATAGTACAGAACCCTGGAAAACACCCGTCACAATCAAACCACTTCAGAAGCCGGGTACACAACAATGATACCACCGGTGATTCGCGCGTTCCTTGAACAGGACGCCATGTTGGTTGCACAGCAGAACGGCTGCACCACCGATTTTGAGACAGTCCTAATTGAAAATCCTTCACTTTCATCCATAAAGCCCCGCTAGCCATGTTATCTCGGCTTCAAAACACAACCCGAACCCCAACAAACACGCAAAAGTGGCAGTAATTTACCTTGATGTTCGAAAATCCGACGACGACGACGACAGCGATGACAACATCACCAATAGAAACAGCAACAAGACGCACCCGGCCGTCAAATATATGTCCAGAGCGTAAAAGTTTCTAATGCCGCTGATATGTACGGAACACGAAAATAGGCCCATCAACCAACTAACACCGTGCCCAACCGGAAACGGAATGCCGACAAACTCTTCGCTGTCGAGCAAGCCACGCAGAATAGGGGAATTTTAGCGGACAAAAAAAAAATGTCGTTTACTCTCACATCCGCCGCAGTCACAAGTATTACACCCCAAAAACCCGTGTAGCCCTCTGCGTGCAGGCATGGGTCCAAGGCTCACCACGAAAAACACACGACCAATCACAAACCAAATCATCTCTACTTTTTTCTGGCTGGCTTACCAAGTTATTACCTACATGATCCAGCGGCGAACGCGGTTGACACCCAACCATTACGTACCTCCACCTGTTTCCCACACACACAAAGACACCTCACTCGTCAGGCTGCTCCGCGCTCAAGTTCGGGCACCACCCAAAGTGTCAGCACATCCTCAGAAAGAGGACAACCGCCGAATATATAAGGTACAACCGTTTCGTCGATCAAGCGCGCACCAGAGAGTGCGAGAGCAAGAGCATCCGCTTCCCGACCGCTCACGCTTACTGTTATGCGCCCCCTTTCGTCTGTGCTGCCGTACATCTCACTGGCTCAACGGCTTGGATCACCAGCGCTTACGTCGCTCGGCGCCCTCTGCCTCATGTTCCTCCAAATCTTCTTCGCTGGGCATAGATACGGAGCATGAGAGGCTCAGGGCGCCGGCCGTGTGCGAGGAGAAATACCGGCAGTGGCTCCTCTTCAATACAAGCCAAGCCGTCCTCAACCGGCCGGTCCTCAGTTACTCTTCCGTTGCTTTAGAGGACCAGGATCATCAGAGAGGTTCCAGCCCGATACGCGTCGTCCAGAACCTGCCTGTTCCCGCCTCATACCCAGCATCTCCGGGGATGAACATCACTCGGAGATCCCACAGAAAGCACATGTTCTCTCTAAGGCTACGATGTAGTACCTTGATACTCCACCACAAGAGTGAGTTAGCTAGATGTCACCCAGGTCCCCCTCGTCGAGGTTGCCAAGGCTGATCGAGCTCATCACCTTGTGGTACAGGCTCGCGGAGGCAACCAGCTGGCCTGCCGCGACCTGCTGCAGCGCGTAGGTGACGGCGGTGGCGGTCGAGAGGAAGTACCTCCGCCCTAGCGTCGCGCACAGCAGCGGGGACTTGCGCAGCTGTTGACACAACAAACGGAGAGGTGAAGCGGCGGAGTGAGGGGGTGTAGGCACGTTAGACTCTGAAGGAGGGGTACGGAGGGAGAGAGAAAGCGAGAGCCAAATAGAGAGGGGATCAGAGAGAAAGAGGAAGGGGGAGGGAGAGGGCGAGAAATATAAAGAGAGTGAGAGAGACAAAGAGAGAGAGAGAGACAAGGAGAGGGAGAGAGATAAAGAACATGCGTTGTGGGGAAGGGGGTGACATCAATACAATGAAGCCGGGGGTGCATTGGCATTTAGAGCAGCACTCCTTGAAAAACAAAAAAAAAAGTTTCGGGTGGAAGTCATCGCGGTATATTTTGGAGGAGGCTCCTATCGCTGTTTTCTTAAGCTTACGCTTCACTCCGTGGCTCCACCAACCCCCTCTCTTCTTGCCTGTTCCTGGCTGACTGTGTTGTGAGGCAGAGCTATAACGAACGAATGATTCCGTGGAACGTGCGTACACAACGGACACCAATCTAGAGCGGCCGTGGCAACGGCGGAAACACACGGCATAAACGGCCGCACCGTCACCGGGAGTAGCAACAGCATCGACAGTGAATGACAATACCAGCCTTGCGAGGAATGGCTGCTTGGGGCTGAGTTCGCGACTGCACGCCAAAACCCTAAGCAGTATCGACAAAAAGCTGTTTCCACAATAAGCACACAGTGCAGCAGTGCAGTGACCGATGCTGCTGGCTGGCCGTCTGGGCGAAACACACAAACGCCCACATCACGACCTGGTGGATCGGTGTGGCAGGAGAGCCAGCAAAATCTCAACAGGTCAAGGATGATGGGGTGACCTCTGCTGTCGAAAGCGAAGGAAAGCAAACCCTCTTTGTGTGAGTTTTGTGAGTTTGGACAACAACGATAAAATACATGCTCCGTATACACCACCCGAAAACTTTCCTGCACCATGAGCGGGTCGCTGACGGGAGCGAGGAACATTTCTATCGGAGGATCTCTGTCGACCAGCAGAGCCACGAGTCCCTCCAGCGTCTTCAAGGAGCTGGAGTCGAGGTCGTGGATGCTGCTGCTGTCTAAAATCACGTACTATACGCAGTAAGTCGTGATCGCGAGAGAGCGGCCGGCAGCAGCAACAGCAGCAGCAGCAACAGCAGCAGCGGCAAGAACGTGGAATTAGAAATACCAAGCACGAAGCTAAAACAGAATGGGGGGAACAGCAATAAACAATAGGGGGGGAGCGGGGCGGGACTTCGCGTTGGCTGGGCCCCTTCTCTGCAAGGGGCACACACCCTCCCTCCCTCCCTCCCTCCGCAAGGAGGCTCCCAGAAAACTCCACCAACAGATCGCCAACCGTAAAAACACGCTCGGCAGTAATTATCCAACTCTCCTACATGTACGTCGCAACGCTGCCTGGTACAAACGCGCCTCACCTGGAGAGCAACCTTTGCCGGCTTGCCTTGCGACTCCGCCACGCGGCGTTCGGCGTCCGCCTTCTCCACCACCTTGATCACCGCACGGCGGAAGACGTCCTTGTTGGCGAACGTCAGGGAAGCGCCGAAGCGAATCACCTCCACCCCGGGCTGGCGCTGCGCGTCTGATAACCGGGGGGGGGGG